CTGGAGCTGTTTCTTTGGTTTTGTTTCCCAAAGAATCTTTAACAGAGCGATAAAAAACTTAACTTAGTTGCCGTTCAAAAAGACTTCTTTTTTTCCCAAAGACACTTTCTTTCATTTTGTGCTCGTTTCACCTTTGGTTCCTTTCTCTTTTTTCAGTTTGTGCCCAGAAACAATATGCTTTTCTTTTCCAAACCCCTGTTTCTTTCTTTTTTTCAACTTTGTTTCCGTGTAAAGGCGGGGATCTTATCGTTCTTTGAAAACAAATCTGGTGTTTCAAAAAGCCAGGTTTTCTTTGGACCCCACTCGTGGAACGGTTTTGTAGAAGTTGAGGGAAAATTAAAGGTTGCCAGAGATAATTCAAGTAACTTTTTTTTCAAGGTTGGGTAATCAGGGCGACTCCCCAGGGTTGCCTCTGCGTTGGTGGGGTTCCCAACTTTCATTTCTCCAAACCAGCAGTTTTTACTGTCATTTCATGGAACCTCTCTCAGAAATGATAGTATTCCTGTTCTTATTTTCTTTTTCTATTCTTCTTCTTTGTTTATTTAGGCATTTCCATTCTTCTTTCCTAATTGTCGGATTATTTTGTTTCTTTGCAACTCTGCTCGTACAGATCTTGGTCTTGAAGATTCATTTTCCAAACGATACGAAACCCTTAAAAAAAAAACCCTGTTTGCAAAACACAAATGTTAGGACTTTTCCCCAAATGGAAAGAAGGAAAAAAAAACTATATCAATTTTCCAAAAATTTTGCTGTCTATTGTCTATTTAAACCCAAAATTCATTGTTAAGCCTTAAAAAAAAAATTATTTTCTTGTGTTTATTTTTGTGAGCCTACTCTGTAACATGGAACACGGCAAAGATATTTCTTTGACGGCAGTTTCCTGCGGGATCTCGGCGTCGGAGTGGAAAACAATAAAAAAAAAAACCTTGAATTGTTAATTATTTTGTTATCAGAACCAACAAAAAGGTGGATAATCATACAGTGGACTAGGATATTGTGATATATCTCCAAAAGTCAATGATAACAAAACCATGAATTTTACAGAATACAAAAGCGATAGCTGTTAAGTTCCCTTTTTTCAAAACAGCTGGTTCAACCTGCACCATTCAACAACCAACAGGACCAAACAATTATAAATGAACTTCCTCGCGCTCTCTTAATGTTTGATATTGGTCTGTTGGTACTGTTTTAAATGCTGTAGCCATCATAGTGAACTAGATTTAAGTCAACCTTGACCTCGGCTGACATGAAGGAATGCACTGACACTCGATACCAGGTTTTGTCCTCAGCTTGTGGACAGCGATGGTGGTGCTGTAATGTTCCACCTGTAAGACTGGCCCCCATGGTGATTCACCATTCCCATAAAGTGTTGTACGTTTGATTCTACGATGGCAGAGAACACAGTCGGGGTACATGGAAATATTTGACAACCATTTAAAAGGAGACACCACTGCAAAACATAAACACCGTATAAAAAATTGGTTACCTTTCTCTGTGTAATTCAAGAGCGTAAATCCACGCCGAGCAGTGTGATTTGTAATGGTGGACATCCTCCCGGTACGTCAAAGTCAAATCTCTTCAGAAAAGGTCAAAACCGTCGGGAGGATATTCTCCATCGTCACCATTCGCTAAATCAACGACAAGAACACATTTATCAAACGACTAAATCCTTTTAACTTGCTCAGTATGGTTAAAAGACTATATGCCAGCTGTTTTATTTGGACCCAGTAGTAAAACGATTTGAACTCTGCCTACAGTTTTTCAGAAAATCTCACCTTTGTTGGCCTCTGTTTTGTTGTACATTCGCTGGGCACGTGAACCTTTGTTGTGTCCATAAATGGTTTTTGTTCATGGAAAGCATCCTTTCAAAGCTTCTTTCCTGGTAGAAACACAAATGGCTAATCACACTTGTAATATTAGAGCCAGCCTGGCCACATAAATTCACTAAACTAGGAGCTCTCTGGAGCTTTGTCTGCGCCGTCACCACACTGTAGGGTTGTATCACTTTGTTGTTCTTTGCAGGAGACAGACTGAAGAGACCAGATATGGATTTGCTCTTATTGATGATGTGGCTTTCAGAGCCATTTTGTTGTGTCACATCAGGACGTCCTTGTATTCCTTAAAAAGAAATATCACTCCTATGACCTCAGCCACTTCACGATTTTTTCTTCCCTTGTAAAACATAATGTTTGTAAGGATGTTTATAAAAACGTCACTTGCACCAGAGTCTTTGTTGGCTGATCTTATTTCAAAATCAGACTCCAGGCATTCAGCAGGCATCCACGCTTGCTCAAAACTGCAAAAAGAATACATCGGGTAAAACCATATCTGATATATCTTAATTCCATCAACAAGCATTTTTAACTTCCACTGATATGTGAACTTTCTGGCTCAATTTACCATTTTTAAATCTGCAAAATCCTTGTGCATCGTTTTTCTGTTCCAGCATGTTCTTTTCTTCGTCGCCAAGCAAAGACTCTACTTCAGCCTCTGTCTTTAATTCTTGAACTTAAACCTTTTAGGGGGAGAGGATTAGTTTTTCAGTGAAATAGTTACTGTTTACTGCCTTTGCTGCTGCCTGATGATGCTCGACTGATTGGCAGTTTTGTAAGTTAGCTCACTAACACCCAATTAAATCATTTTATAATTCAATATTTCCTGTTAAATATATATACATAACACAGATGTTTTTTTCACATATAAAGTTACTCTGCCTGGTACTTATATTTCACGTACCAGAATGAAAACGCAGCTGTTTCAAACCGTGGTCTGGACCTCTGGCATGTCATGTAAAAGAACTTGCAGGACACTTGCGGTTGAGTGCGTTAACCAATGTGCTTCCGGCTGGGTTAATACAGACCGATGATGAACTCTCCTTGGGTGTGAATCCACTGAAAGGGAAAGAAGAAACGAAGCACTCGAGTTGTATATTTACACGCCATGCTTGCATTAGTTTTATGTATTAAAGATTATTTTAGTTTTGGTAGCAAACAGGGGTCAGTAAAAATGAATATTCTGATTTATAGGGGGATGGGTTTACAGGGTGGGGTGAAATAGGAACAACGCTTTCAGTGACAATCTGATGGTTTGGTTGGAGCCGTCTCTGATTGAAAGCATGTCTTTCCTCTTTTGCTCAAGTTGTGGTATAACTACAGTTTTAGTTTTGCATGGCTAAACATTTCTGCTTACCTAAAAGCAGCCTCTCTCAAGTTCAATTGAAAGTAAGTAAGTTCGTTAAAGAAAGCACTCATACGATCAGCTGCTTACAACGGGAGTATGTCTCTGTTCTGCGTTTTTGTTCTCAACAGCAGGTATTGTTGGACAGACGAAGTCGTTATATAGTTCAGCATCTGATCTGTCAGCCGATCCAGTATCAGTACAGAGATAAAATACTATAGGCCACATGTTTCTGATTACTCTGTTTTGTTTTCTTGCTTCTGCTGTCTTTGGCTCTCTTCACTCCAGATGTTGGGTCACTTGGACGTGTTTCAAGCTTGTTCTCCAACATCTTACAGGACGCATTCAGTGCTACTTTCAGATTTCCCCTCAAACTCTTGTCAGACTCTCAATTTGTCGCTTTCCACTTTGGTCCGTCCTCTTCAGTTTTTCGCAGCCCAATGATCTCTGGCACCCTGCTTTCTTCTTTCACCTGTCTGTTCAGATCTTCTGAAACTGGTTTTCAAGCAGGTTTTCTGACATCTTTGGATTTTTGAAGAAGAAATAAAGTAAAATTATTCTGTAAAAATCTTGCCATCGTGTCAATATCAGTAGAAAAAAATATTTAGCCACATGTTCTTCATTTACCTGTTTGTTTTCTGCTTCTCTGTCTTTTTTTGTTTCTTCATCCAAGTTGTGTTCACTGGAGTAGTCAACTCCTGTTCTCCAACATTTACAGGAGCATCATCTCTTTTAGTTTCCTTCAACTCTTTCAGACTTGTATTTTGTGTTTTTCTTTCTGTGCTGCTGGAATTGTTACAGTCTCATTTATAAACAGGGTTCCTTTACTTCTTCATCTCCACTTTTATCAATTTTTAGGTTTGTCACAGTCTATTGTTCGGTGTCTCTACATTTAATGTTTTCTCTACTAGATGTGTTTTCTTTACACTTTGCGTCAGCCCCGGGGCGCGTGAGCCTTGAAGCACTGAGCTGCCTTTCTCCTGATCTTTTCTCATCTCTCCCTCATCTTCTTCAATGATACTTTCTTCTTCCTTCCTAGTGTGTTGTAGTTCACCCAGTTTGTCCATGTTACTGATTTTATGTTGTTCCGCTGCATCGTCTGTCAGACCTTCTGAAGTGGTCACACAGGGCTTCTTAGTAGCTTTGGGTTGAAATGTGATTTATTCAGTAATACATTCAGCTAAAATCTGTTTCAGAAAGGTTGGCATTACTTTGGATAAACATCTTACAGATGTATGTTGTGATGGATGTATAAGGTCAAAATACTCTTATTGAGCAAAAAGCTAATTTATAGAGTTGGTAATCTTTTGCTTTTATTTATGTTAATTTGGTTTTATAAACATCTGCAACACCTTGTTCAGCCACATCTGCGTCTCTGTTACCTGTTTGTTCATCCTCTTCTGCCTTTGTGTTCTCATCTCGGCATCTTTTCCTGGGGTTAGAATCTTCTTCATCTCCCATCTTTCTTCCAACTTGTTGTTTATGTTTTCATGTGTGATGCTAAAACGAATACAGTGTCTTCATTAGCCTACACGTATTTTCCTTTACATCATTTCACACAATGTTGTCAATGATTGTCTCTCAATGTGATTTATTTTATCCTCAATACGGACAGATCCCTTCTGTTCACTGTCCATTAAAAAAACAAAAAAAGCATCTTGTAACAATGATAGACACTATCTCTTGAGCTTGTTTTCCAGGTAGCAACACACCTGACATTCATAGGAAAAAGACATCCCCCATAATGCTGCACAGCGAGACTCTGAGCTAGAGGCGGAACTTCAAAGGAAGACAATTGAATACAACGTCATTATAAGATGAGATTTGTTTTGTAAAGATTTATTTTGTGGATTACTTTATTGTTTTTATTGAATTTTCACAAGTTAATTAATGGCAACTACATATATAAACATATTTGTATTCTGTTCTACAATGTAGATAAGGAACTAGATAAGGTGCAAGTTACCTGTAATGTCACTGATTGGCGGAGTGATATGATGTAAGGTAGTGTTCAGTTGTCCGACTATTGAAGCAGACATTAAAGTGGATCAAGTATCACAGATAAAGTTTCCCTCTTGCTGTACCACGACTCAAAGTAGTTTGTAATACAGTAATCAAGTTTTGTATTAACGGCTGCGAGTAACCAGCGTTACATTTATTCAGAAGAGTAACTAAACGCTCACAGTACAAACTTTAAAAGTTACAACATAGTCAATATCATACAATAAACAGTTTAGAACTGAAAGTAACCTCATGCGTCTGTACCACAGCAACATCAATCAACATATTCACATGGAAATACAAGATTATAAAATATGACTCCTTTTACTCCGAGCCTATCTAAGGTTGTTTTGCAGTGAAAGCCAACGTTAGAGATATATAGTGCTTACCTGGACTGCACCATCGGGTAATGAAAGCAATATTGTGGCGCAGGCTGTATAACACTGTCTTACTTTCGTTTGTTTCACTGTCCGCTGTCAGCCTTCTCCTCTAGCCTGAAACTACAGAAAATACAGCTTAGACAATAAAGTAGGCTCCGCCAATAAGTTTGATTGGTCCTCTGATTTGATCATCTTAAAAACTATTTTTAAATTGATCTTCCCAAAAATCTATTATAAGGGTTTCTTTTTTCCATTGTATTCTTTTCTGTTTTAATTTTAGTCCTCTATCAGTAAGTGTATCACTGTGTACTGAAAAGCTAAATGTCTTTATTTCTAAATACATATCTAAATATCTCAAAAGAGGGACTTTCTGTATTTCCTTATTAGTTACTGCAGTTTAAACTTTCTTTCTCTTGTCTACAGAAAATCACATGACTTCATTGACCTTTGTGTAACATTTAGGAGGATCTATTGGCAGAAATGTTATATAATATTCATGGGTGTGTTTTCTTTAGTGGATAATCACCTAAAAACACAGGAATAACAAAAGCTGCAGTTCCTCTTCCGGCCTCTTGGGGCTGGCGGCAGTAGTGAGTGATCTCAATAAGATGCTCAACTTTACAGCAGAAATAAACATGTTTACAGCCTGGTACAAAAACAGTTTCGGTATCTAATAGCTAAATACTCTGTTTATGACATCTGTAAGTTGTTATATAACTCACCTGAGTAAATTTTCTTCACAAAGTAATAATATGAACTTTTTAAATCTTAAATCTGACATTTACCCCCTATATTATAATGAACATTGAAAACAATAAAAAAAAACTGAAACTGACTGAAAATAAACTGAATGGAAAACAACATAAAAAGAAAAAGTAACGAATAATAAAAAACTATAATGACTTTGTTTGGGGGTTTAAATAAATTATTATGTGATTTTTTTTTTTTTTACCACAATTCTACATGATTATTTTATTGGTGTCAAGTCACAACAGCCAGTGATTGTTGGCTGTCTGTAGCAGGTGCAGGTGGTCTGTAATAGATTTTTAGCAAATTAAGTGATGAGGGTTACATATCCAGAAATCCTTTACAGAAAAACTTCATAATCAATACTCTGATTGTCTCTTAGGCAAAAAGTGAAACTACAGACCAACCTGAGGCTGTTTTGTGTCTCTGTGGGAATCCCGGGGAAAAACTTTGTTTATACCTGATTTAACTGGGAGGAAAACACCGACACAAAACCACGTGATCCTGTCTCTCTCTCAGCTGTAATTTCACTTTCACTTTAATTGGAAAGCATTGTAGTTTATTTATTCATTGCATTTCTGTTTTCCAGTGCTTGAAATATCTTATTATCTTTGTCTACTTGTTTTACTTGTGAGTGGAAATTATTTCCATATCACTTTTGCATATCAATGTAATTCCCTCATTTGTTTCGTTTTATGTATCTGTTGCTCTCAATGTGTCTGTGTGGGTGTGAATGAATCTGACTCTATCAAGTGGTTCAAATATTTGATTGTTCTTTATTTAATTTTACTTATGAGGGAGAATTGGCCGAGCTCTGCTTTGCAGCTGTGGTTTGGACTGTTTCTTTCTCAGTATGTTTCTCAGGATGTACTCTCTACTCTTGTTTAATTAATATTCACCAAACTGCACTTCCATATAAAAGGATTGGTTCAGTATTGCTTTGGAAAATTTTAAGCCAAATCTTTATTGGGGGTTTAATTTGAATAGGACTTTACTTACACTGTAATAAGCTGTGAG